TAGGTTACAGGAAAGTTTATCAAAGAACATTAAATATTTCTGGCATCCAAAAGTTGCAAAATTAGTATTATTTTTATTTCATTGCATATATTGGCTAGTAATATAGTTAATTTAATTGATTCAATGAAGAATATATCAATTAACTAATATCTTAACTTAGCTTTTAGTATTTACAATAGACGCTACAAGATGAATCAAACTGAATGTACTTACTTTTTGAATGAAAAAAATTGACGTATTTTTAATTAGAATTTTGGTTTATTCTTATTAAACAAAGTAGATAACGACAACCATGGTATTTATTATTTAGAGTTACAGTTCTACTGATTTAACCAATCTTGAGAATTATAGATCAATCTGTCTCCATCAACCATATCTGTAAAATGTATTCTCACATATTAATATCATGATTAAAAGACAAATTCGATTTATCTCAACCAAGAGTTCCAGTAAGTTACGGAACGAACAAATATCGGCAAATGTTTAGATATTAATAGTAAAAATCATTGAATACAATAAACACTTGTGCTAATTTTTAACTGATTTTATTAAGAGATATGGGAAAAACATACAACTTATGAACTATAACAAGAAACAGGTCGAGAATTCATAATTGCAGAAACAATATATATATATATATATATATATATATATATATACATATATATATATATATATATATATATATATATATATACATATATATATATATATATATATATATATATATATATATATATATATATATTTATATATATATATTCAAGGATTCTACTGTATTCACTGCCTCCATCTCTCTCTGTTGTCCCATTCACCATCGTTTAGGCCTCTCTTACTCATGGTGTCATTTACTTCGTTTATCCAGGATCTTCGAGGTCGTCCTCTTTTCCTCCTTCCTCTAAGCCTCCCTTCGGTTATTCTCTTTATATATCTGCTATCACTAGTTCTTACATGTCCATACCACTTTAGTCTTTTTTGTTCTATATATGTTAGTATGTCTTTTTCTATTGTTGTTCTTTCCTTTATGTCGTCATTACTTCTATCCATTCTTGTTACTCTGCAGTATCTTTGCAGGCGTTCCACCTCTGTTGCTACTATCTTAATGCTGTTTTCCTTGTTTATAACCCAATTTTCAGCCACATATGTCTTTTTTTATAGGTGTCTATCCCACCATACTGAGTTAAGTTGTCGGATTGCTTTTCTTTTTTGTCCTAAACTTTGCTTAATTTCTTCCTCTGTTGTCGCCTTTTTCGTGGATATGAACCCCAAGTATTTGAATTTATCCTTTCCTTTGATTGATACGTTGTCGTCAATCTGTAGATATTCTATGTCTTCTTCACTTTTAGATAGGTACTCTGTTTTCGCGAGGTTAATATCTAGACCAGCCTTGGTATATTCTTTTTGTAGTTTCTTCGTCACGTAACTGAGGTCTTGTTGGTCTTGTGCAATCACTACTTGATCGTCAGCAAAGCTTAACGTATATAGGTATTCGTTTCGTACCGGTACTCCCATGCCTTCGCATTTTCTTTTCCATGTAGTCGAGGCTTTCTCTAAGTATATTTTGAATAGGGTTGGAGATGTGGACAAACCTGCAGGATCCCTTTTGTTCTGCTGAAGTCTCCTATGATTTTTGTTCCCATTTTAATGGATACTATTTTCTTTATACAGAGCTTTTGTAGCTTCTATGAGTTTCGTCTGTATTTCTAATTCTCTCTTCTTCTTCTCTTCTTTCATCTCTATTTTTGCTTTTTTTCTTTTCCAACAATTGTTCCACTGTGTATATGTGGTATATGCATGATCTTTCTGCTGTAAAGCCTGCTTGATCCTCCCTGATTTTGCCTTATCGCTTGCTCTATCTTTTCTCGCAGTATCCTACCATATAATTTTCTTATTGGCGATATTATGCTTATTCCTCTCTAAGTTTCGCATCGTTTTCTATCTTCTTTCTTAAATATGGATGCCATATATACCTCCGTCCATTCCTTGGGAGCTGTTCTCTTTCTGAAATATCCATTTTATCATCCGGTATAATTTTTTAAGCAGTACTTTAGAAGCTCAGGTGAGATGCCTCCAGGTCCCGGTGTTTTCTTATTTTTGATTGGTTTTATGGCCGTTCTCATTTCTCTATCTGTTATTTCTATTTCTTGTTGTGAGGATCTGTTTCGTCTTCGCCCGTTTTCTTTACCAATGAATTGTGGTGTTTGTTCTGTTAACAGTTCCTTGTAATAGTCCTTCTATTCTTTGTCCTGTATATTTTCCAATTTAATTTTATTTTGAGATTTGTTTCAATCCTCTCAGTACTTTCCATGACTCCGAAGTTCTTGTACCTCCTATGTATGTTTTAATATTTAAGCAGGTACTTTCCCATTCAGCATTCTTTTGTTGTGTTATTTGTTTTTTCACCTCTCAAGCAGGTACTTTCCCATTCTTCATTATTTTGTTATGTTACTTGTTTTTTCACTTCTCTATTTCTCCATATTCTTTATAAACTTCATCATTGTTTGTAGTCAGCCATTTTCTGTATAGTTGCTTTTTTTCTTCAATTATTCTTTTTGTTGGTTTATTTATTTCATAATAGTGCTGTTTATTTGTTATATGTTCTTTCTCTCCAAGGGCTTTGAATGCTGCTTGTTTTAAGGCCTATTCTCACTATAGTGCCAGGCATGTGCCAGGCATGTGCCCTGCTCGAGACGTGCAAAATTACTTTAACGTTATTTAAATGGGTTTAGCGACGGTCCGTTCTCACTACAAGTGCTTGGAGTGGGAACGGTCCGCGCCCGGCATCGGACAATCTTTTCAAACAATATTTTCCTAGCCCGTGCGTGGCACATTCCTTGCACAGTCCTACATAGTGTGAATACCTCGACGAGTTTCGACAGGAAAAATGGTGCGACCAAAATTATTTTCACATGATACTGATGAATTTTTAATAGAATTAGTTCGTATGAGAAATGAATTATACGATTTTATGAATCGACTGTATGCAGATGCAGCACATAAGTCTCAGGTATGGTGGGATATTGGAGAAAATATTAAAATAGGTAAATAAAACACTATATTTTATCTAGGTAATAGACCACTGCCGATAATATTTTAAACAAAAAAAATAATAGTAGGATGAAACTCGTTGGAAAAGAAAGATGATGTGACATAAATAAAAGAAAAAATAATTTACGGGCGACCTGAGTTCGGAAAATGGAGGGAGTGAGTTTTTTAAGGACAAAAATGGTTTATCGTGATTTCCTAGAGCAAGTCGAACTACATATCTACTAAAGCAAGTAGAACTACAGATAAAATCTTTTTGTAGTTAAAGTAGCTGGAACCACTATTGATTGGTGCTATAATTTTGATTTGCTATTCATCTAGGGCTCCTAATGCCATTGGGAAAATTCTACGACAACCAAAATTTTTTGTCAATTTGTTCAAAATCGCATTCTGCTGGTAATTCTGCTGAAATTCGGCAACTGACATTCTATAATATATATAAAATTTTGACTCATTATCCATGAGTTCTTTATACAAGGTATAGTATTCTCCTTCTATGTTTCTTTCCTTAATCATTGGATGTATCCAAAACCTCATTTTTTAACTTTATCTCTCATATTCTCTTCTTCTTCGGCATCCAAAGTAATAAATGCAATTTTTACTAAAGTTGCCGTAGAAAACATTACAACTGCACAACTACCCACCGACACGTCTAACCGACTGCCTGTGCAAAATACCGCTGAAAGCATGCTACGAGCGCGAATAGTGTGAATATTTACCAAAAGCATGGCATGTGCCGGTCAGGTGACGAGCACGGGCCTGGCACGTCTAATGAGAATAGACCTTTATACTCGCCTTTATATGCTCGTATACTTCTTTGATATTGCCTTCTATTGATAGAATCTGAATTCTATTAACTTTTGGTCTAGACATTGTTTGTATATTTCTCTTATTGATTGTTCTTGGAGTCGTTCTATATTTATTGTTTTTCTCTTATAGCGTTCAACGGTTCTTCTGTAAAGGGAGTCTTGTTATGTTTCGAATTAATGCCCTTTTTGCTGTCAGGAGTTTATGGTCACTTCCACATTCTGCTCCTCTTCCAACTCTCACTAATTGCAGAAATAAAAGATATGCAAATTCAGTTTCTTCAAACAAACAAAAGCAATACCATAACCTTAAAACATGAACATTAAGAGTAAATATCTTAATAATTTCATGTTCTTAACTCACAAATTCACGAATAACAAATAATACCAATGAATGTTCATAACCAAAAGTCCTTATTTACTCTTCAAACGATTAAAAAAAAACAATATTTGCAACTTCTTATGAGACAAATACAAGACCTTCAAAACGTGACTCATGTTAATCATCAGAAACTTTATTATTTCAGCACACACTTCATCACAGCCGAGTGCTTTTGTAATTTTGTGTATTGCACATGTAACCTCACTTTCTGTTGTAAATGTACCTGTTATGGCAATTGTTGCATAGTGTTCTACTCTTTTATCTTCAAATAATTCAAAAATGTAGTTAATCCATTCTCTTAATTGTTCATTGATATCTAATATTCTGTGTCTGTTTTTGTCTTCTAAACTTTGGGATATTTCGTTGTTTCCGTTTTTTGGGGGAAAAATCCATGAAGCAGAAAATTGTGCAGACTAATAGAGAATAATATGTTTTACTATACTTCGATTTATTGTATGAATATAAAAATTTTAAATTTTAATTTTACAACAAAATCAAAGGCTACATAATCTTTGGAATTTTAGATATTAAATGATTTTGAATTATAGATTTGTTAATTATCCAATTTTTTAATAGTTTCATAACATTATCTTATCAAATGATTTCTCCAAACACTTACAATGCCCATTCCTATAAAAAAACATAGATTTAACATGGCATTCATACGTTTTATAGATAGTGATAGCATACTTGAACATACCTATATAATGTTTCCAACAAATTTTCCTGTACCCGTATTATTAACTTACATGATTGCTTAAACTTACTTGTAGTGTAAATTTATCTCAAACGTCAAAAATTTAGACAAAATTATTGTGTTTCAAAACCCTGTATACAAAATTTAATGTTATGTTGACATACCACCATTATAAGCATAGTCAGCCTTATTATGCATTATAAGACAATTGTCCACAAAATAAAATGAGTCCGATCTTGTTTCAAATGGGTTCTCTATCATGTCATTAACTAAAAAAGAAGGTAAAATGTAAAGTTGATATAAAAACTATAACAAAAAATACTAGTAAAACTACTATATACAGTAGAAAACTAAATGATGCCTACAGTAAACAGTCCAATGAATACTTTTACATACATTATACATATTATATAAATCCAGTCTTAGCTCAGCAACATTACTGAGTGATACAAGGGGAAGTTTGATCTCCTCTCTTGCGTAATATGTTCATTAATGGGCTGATAGCTAAACTCAGCAACAACAGGTATGCTGATGTGGGCCTAAAAGAAGCCCACAGAAGTCCAAAATCATGAAATTTATTAGAAGAAAGAACAGTACATATTTAAATGGCCTAATTGGTACACATATAAATCTGGTGAGTGATTTAAAGTATCTTGGGATAATATTAGATTCAAGGCTTACTTGGAATCAACAGATAGAATCAGAACAGATAGAACCAAGAGAATGGTAACTACATTAATGGTAGCCAGACACACTTAGAGAAAAATGTGTGGCTTAAAATCACATATATATCGAATTCATAAGATAGTTGTAAAACCAACAATTACATATGCATCAGTGATATGGTAGCCAAAGGTGCAGCAAAAAGTGCCATCTTCAAACTAAGCAAGGCTTACTTGACTCAGAATATACAGGGACTATAATTAGGAAACAAGTAAAGAAATAGACTCTGGTAGTCATTCTGGACCTTCAAAAATGGTTAAATTAGGTGATAAAAATTTTAAGGAAATTTTGCAAAATGGAATGAGGAAAATGATTCTGTCGCAAGTGATGTGGACTCCGATGTAGGGTATTTATGAACAGACAACACTGAATCACTGAAGAAAGCAAAACCACTCATACTTGCATAATGTGCAGGACCCTGATATGTTTTCAATGCAGGGCAAGAGTTTGCAAGGAATGTGCCACTTAATTTTTTTGACAATTTTACCTCTTGCAGATTTTTTCTCATGGATGTATAGATTTTCGTAAATGCTATTTTATGTTTCTTTTATGATTCTATATTAGGTTTATTTGTTTAAAAAAAATCTAAATTTTTGTTCATAGCATTTATGGCTGTTTGTTTCAATAGACCAAAAATTTTACTGAAATTGTCATTCAATAGATTATTCATTAAAAATCTTGTATTTTATTATTAAAATCAGTCATTTCACCAGTTCTGCCATATCTAGACATTACAGAAAATACATTATGATTTTTTTTTATTAACTGTATATTTGACTCCATTTTATAATGACTGGTAAAAAAATACTGGGGCTGTTTTTACATTGTAATAAGTTTTATGTCTATGGCTAAGGGTTAAAGTAAGAGTACCTTTTTGTACTAGAATACCTGAACATTTAATAATCTAGTATCACAAATATTTAAAAGTTAAAGACAAAAAAGTTATACTTTAAAATAACTGTTGACCGCCCAAAACGAATGCCTATGAACAATACTAGAAATTCGCAATAAATGATATCGATTCAACTCAAGAGGATACATAATTATACCAGCTTTCAGTTTTCCGAATAGAAGCGTTCTGGAGGTACTTAAAAAAACTACAAGGCACCATCTTTAAAGAGCTCTAGCTCCCTTTCGGACTAGGTGAATTGGGGTAAATTGTGTTAAAAGTATCTGATGAATATCTAGTCATTGTTTGTCAGGAGAGTTTCTGGACACCCTGTATAAAGAATGTTAAGGACATTTTTTTGATGTGCAGTTGTACAATTTGGGTTTGGTAAGGTGTGATTATGATTATTGTGATACTCTCAGAGTTCTGAACTAATTATGGAAAATAGTGGTCTTAATTCAGCTAATGCTTTCTAATCACAAATCCATAGATAATCATACACAGATACATATCGAACCTCCAGATCTATAGAGGCACAACTCAAAAAATCACCATTGTGAGTTAGGCCTTTATTTATAAGTAGTTTTGAACGATCTTTTTAATGGTAATATCGTCACGTCTCTAATCTTGTCCATTAGAGATTTTTAAAATAATATAGAGGCACTTTTTTAGATATGCCTTTTTAACAATATTTTATTGTTCCTTTGTATCGTAAACACAGGTACTTTTTGAGTTGTGCTCTTTGAAGTAATAGGTAAACAATAGGTGTTTAATTTTAACACTAGCCAAGGATTGCAACGAGTCTGTAAACATTTCTTTTTATCAACTCTTGATATCACTGCTAAGGCATTTCACACAGCTATCGCCAAAAACCTGTCTGTTGGAGTTCTTGAAAAGGCTAAACTTGGGAAACATAAAAATCTCCCAGTTATTCCTGCTGCTGTTGTACAAAAACTAAAAGACCTCATCAACAGTTTCCCTCGCATTCCATCCCATTATCTGAGAGTTCAAACAGACAGGGAATACCTTGAAGGCCAACAGAAATGCATAGAATGTTTGTGCAACAGTATAATGACAATAGTACTCAAAAAGTAACTTATGCCCTTTATGCTCATGTTTTTAGTAATAATTTTAACATAGGATTTTTTAAACCAAAAAAGGATTTATGTGTGAAGTGTGAAACATTCAAAAATGCAAGTCCTGATGAACAAGAAGGGCTAAAAATTGAACATGACAAACACCTAAGAAACACAGAATTATCTCAGAAGCAAAAACTAGTTGATGTCGCTGAAGCAACAAAAGGAAATTGTGTTTGTGCATGTTTTAATTTGCAATCTGTGATGCAAACACCACAGGGTGATGCTTTACTGTTTTATTATAAAAAAAAATTGTCTGCTTTAAATTTTACTATTTATGAAATTGGAACCAGCCGAGGTTTCTGTTTTGTCTGGCATGAAGGTGTTGCTAAGTGTGGTAGCAATGAAATTATTGGCTCAAGCTTATTAATGTTTTTGAAAGATCACTGCTGAGCGAAGATGTTATATTTTACAGTGATAATTGTGTAGAACAAAACAAAAACAAGTAATTGGCCAGTATGTATTTTTATGCAGTTCAGGAGTATCAATAGTATTCCACATAAGTATTTGGAAGTAGGGCATACACAAAATGAAGGGGATATGACACATGCTCTAATTGAAAAGCAAAAACAAAGGCAATTAAAATCTGGTACTATCTTTGTTCCTTCCCAGTGGGTTACCGTACTGCAAAATGCAAAGAAAACCGGCAGTCCATTTAAAATAACAGAAATGGTTACAGATGATGTAATTGATTTTAAAAGATTATCAGGGCAGATGGGAGTAACTTTTCAAAAAATTCAGAAAATGAAGTAGCACGGAATCAAATACAAGTAATGCATGATAATAAGAATGAACCACATATTTTACTGTACAAAACTGAATAGGACAAGGAATCAAATTTTTCTGTTTTTAAAAATAAATGTCAGATCACGTAATCGTGAAAAATTAAGTAACTTGGTGCTTGCACATCCAAGCAATATTTCTGTATGCCATGTTTCCTCTATGATCTTTCTTACCTTCTAGCATAAATAAATATAAATAGAAAGTGTTATCTTCTCATCCAAGAGTATATTTACAAAGCTGTCTACAATGATACAAAGCTACAATGATAATTATTAACTTGACTTTTAAAAAAAATTATATAAATATCACCTAATGCTTATATGGGGGTGTTGAACCAAAGAATATAGATACATATGCATCTATATTCTTTGGTTGAACTTACCTAGTTCAGGAGCTAATGAAGGGAATTCATAAATATGTTCACATGTGTTTCTAGAGTATGGTATACAAAATCCAAATTCAAAATCAAATGTTTTTAATAGTTTATCTCTGAAAAAGTGCCGCTCAATCATCCTAAAGTTGTTCACAGGTTTACTGCCAACAGTAAACTCAACCCTAGAAGGTAAATAAATAATAAGTCATTTATATTTCAAAAGAGCCATGGAAAAAATACAAGTTATTAGCAAGCTTTATAAGGAATGTCTGGTTTTAAATACATTTAATAAAATTAACAGTAACTATATCTTCAGGAACGGCATACTTACGTTGCTCCAACAGTTGCTAATTTTAAGAATTGAGGGGTAAATTGATATCTAACAAATCGCCCTGCATTTGGATCCAATATCTCTTCATTTTCAATATTTTTATCCGCACTGTCCTCAACACTTTCTGGCAATGGTTTAGCAATTTCAAATAGTATTGCCCCACTTTCTAAATCCCGTAATTTAAACCGTGTAAAGTCAATATCATATATGTTTGCATCTGGATCACACAAATATGTATCAGTAATTTTTGTTAATTTCAACACTTCCTCTGGTGTAATAACTTTCGATTCTAATTGAGGCAAAGGCTTGTTATTAATAGTGTCGACTTTTTCTCGTAATACACTCATAATGATAGTAAAAATTTAACTTTATTTATGCAGCTAACTAAAAAACATACAAAACGACCTCTTTGACAGTGGTAAACCAAACCAAAATAAAAAGTCGATACACAAACGTGACACACGTTAAAACAAATTCGCGTTTGTATACATTTCAATTTAATGACTTCATAATAGTTCCAGTGTTATTGGTTAATATATGGTGATAATTCAAAAATCAATATAAAACGTCCAATCAAATTTATGTGTTGAGAATGAAAAACTAAATAGTAGCTTGGAATTTAAAAGTAAAAAAAGAAGATATGTCCCAATATTTTTCTTCTCATAATCCATAGGCGTTCATATTAATCACAAAAGGGATAAAATTAAGAATGAGTATATTAGGGTACGTCTAGAGGTGGTAGGTACCTATCAGTTGATGCTAAAATGAGAGAACATAGATTCTCTCATTCATGGTTTCTGGTACAACTTCGAGACGCTAATTATTTAATACGAGTTAATTTGTATGTTCTTGGAAGGAGTAGCAGAGGAAGGCCAATAAATATCTGAGGGAGAAGGCAGAACATGTCAACCAAAAAGATTGGTATGATTCAAGATTCACACTTATGGAGAAATGTATAATGATGATGATATTGATCGTCGATATTGATGATGATATAAATGTACATAATGATGATGATATTGATCGTCGATATAGGCCAGTACTTATTAAAGTTTATTATATCCATATGTATATATTTAACTCATATAAAATTAAGGTATTTATTAATTTGAGGTGAATTCTCGTAGAATTAATTAATTAGAAGAAATTGCCATTATAGTTCCTATAGATAAGTAAAAACGTTAAATTAAATTAATTAGATGACTGAATTGTATTTTTAAATCAACTGTGTAGCATTATTCTGTTCGAAGAGAGCAAACCTTTTGTTCTCTGAAAAAATTATAGCCAAGTAGTATATTATAAATTTAAAACTTTTTTTGATACGCATATGTAATCTTTCAAAATTGTATTTCTAACTTCACAGTAGTATTAAACATAGATTTGACATTTGACAGATTTGACATAAATAAATCACAAACTCGCTGGTAAATTGATGGAGTAGTTGTTTGTAATTTTTGGAACAATTATTTTAATCATTTTAATTAACAAAAAATAAACATTTTTAGAACAAATCATGGCTCTAAGAACCTACGGAGATAAACCTATAAGTTTTCAACTCGAAGAAAATGGAGACTACTATTGTGTTGGATCCGAGGCAAGTTGTAAATGCTTTTTAACACCTTAAATATTTGCTTAAATGCTGAGCCTTCTAGATTTTTATAAATATTTAATTTATCAATATCCCTTAGATCGTTTTTTAATTTTAATTAAACTTTAACAACATATTATATAAATATCTGACAATAATCTCTTTACATCTATTTTGTTGTTTTTATTATATCTACAAATATTTTATAGTTCTTATGGATGTTTACATTTCTTTTCCTCTTTTTTAAATGTTCTTTTTGTCTTTTGTCTTGTTTTTACGAAGCACGTGCTATTTTTTAGAACAATACTGTATTTCAATCAGTTTTATGTCAGTAGTTAAAAAGTGTCATATTGTACTTAAGTTGAGGCATATTCAAATTGTTCATTTTTTCCCTTGTAGTTGTAAGTAAACAATTTATGTATGTTTGTATTGGTCTTTTTAATTTTTCATATGTCATATAAAATAACATCCAATAATAAGTAATGTTTATTAATTAAATTCTTTATGCTTTTATTGCATTTAAAGGCATAGCAAGGTTTTTTTTCCTTGTGGCTCTGATATTATTACTTTAACTTTAAATTCATTGTTAAAAAATTAATGTTTTATTAATTATTCGTGTGGTAAATATATATGTTCTAATTTCGTATGTTTAATATTCAGGTGGGCAACTATCTACGCCTCTTTCGAGGTTCTCTTTACAAGAAATATCCTGGAATGTTCAGGAGATCAATTACAAATGAAGAACGGAAAAGGTTAATTGAACTTGGTCTAAGTCAACATGTTCTAGCTAGTAGTGTTTCACTTCTGAGAGCAGCTGAAGTAGATGATATAATTGAAGGGAATGACGAAAAGTAATTTAAATGTAACAATGCTAATATCTAATTGCCTAAAATGATATATTTTCAGATATAAAGCTGTATCTGTCCATACTTCAGAACCACCAATGCCTAGAGAAAGTAAATCAAAGAAAAATTTACAATGGGTCCCATCTTTGCCAAATTCCAGTCATTTAGATGCAGTTCCTCAAGCTACTCCTATTAATAGGAACAGAGTAGCAGCAAAAAAGGTATTTAATAATATTGTTCCTTTTCAGCACAAATGCAATGGGGTACTTTACTATTTCTTGGGCATACAGTATGTAAGGTAATAGCCAATATTATGCTTTAACCACCTATTATTATCTATGCTTTTAATACTCATTTTGTTCAGGCCGAGTTGATCTTGGTATCCATAATATATATCCTATGATTTTTATTTGTTAGGTGAGGACGTTCCCATTATGTTTTGATGACACAGATCCACAAGTGAATATTGAAAATTCTTGTCAGCAAGAAGTTCTTGTTCCTATTAGACTTGATATGGAAATTGAAGGACAAAAACTAAGAGATACTTTTACATGGAATAAAAATGGTAGGCTAATATTATTTAACATAAAAAAAAGGTGTTCATTTTATTTTATTGGTTTTTTAAGTTGATTTACAAACAAAAAAAAAAAAATGAAAATATATGTTTTATAATAATGAAAAGTCTCCCTCTAATGTGGTTTGTAAGATAATACAATTATTAACTCTAGTAAACCTAGAAATTGAAAAGCAATATAAATTTCTTCTTCAAGTGCCATCTCTGTGGCAGAGGTCGGCAATCATCATAGCTAGTCGGACTTTTGAGACAGCTGCTCTGAAAAGTTCATTTGATGTACATCCATACCACTCTCTCAGGTTGCTCAGCCATGACTTTCTACACCTCCCTATGCTTCTCTTTGCTTGAATCTTTCCCTGCACAATCAGTTGCTATAAATTTAGGAGAATCTTAATGGAGTATAATTAAAGGAAATTTGCTAGGTTGTCAACGCCATAGGAAATAATTATTAAAAAGGACTCCCAAAAGTCCAATTGCTCTCTTCTGGGTACCATTTTGATCTCCAAAATCTTTTTTCGGTGCCATATTAGACCCTCCTAATGTTGGCAATTACATTGACGAATTGCTAACGATGTTCAGCTAATCAAAATAGTTGTTTGGCACTGATATTTTCCTTTTGTCTGCGGTCTTTGATTTTTCCCTTCAATATAAGCTGAAGGAATCTGTACCAGTCTCCTGGAAGAACATGCCCTAAGTATGAAATGTTTCTTATAATAGTTTTTAATAACTCACGAGCAGTATTTGATGTATTTAATTAACACAGCTTCATTGATCTGCATCACTGTGCAGGATAATTAGACATTTTTCTATGCAATCACATCTTAAATGCCTCTAGGCAATTGATCATATCAACCTTCAGTCTCGGTGCTATGTAATAACACTGATCAGATATAGCATTTGATCATTCTTGACGTAATTTTAGCTTTAAACTGTGGTTACAGAAGAATGGTTTAATTTTTCGAAAAACATTGTGCGAGCTGCTTCAATTCTGCACTTGGTCTCTTTACTTGGGTCTAGTTGGTCTTTAAAGTAGCATCCCAAATAAAGAGAAGGATTGACGTGGTAATGCAATTGGTCGTCATCTACAGAGTTTCGTGGCTTCTTTCTTTTCTGTTCTAGTTGTTATTGCCTTTCATTTTCTAGTCAAAGGCAGAATTTACAAAACAGTCATTAGACCACTAATGAGATACGCGGCAGAAACAAGACCTCAAACAGAGAGGACAAAAAGGATGTTAGTTTTTCGAAATTAACATATCTGTCTATTTGATTGCCATCCGTTCTTCCTGGTATCATCCACGTTATCTTGTGTTCTCTTTTGTGTTTGTGTTTTGTACTCACTATATATGTGTTTGCTGCAGATGCTAGGTTGCATATTTTTTTTCCATTATCTTCCCTTTCCCCCTTTACAGTAAAGGTTTCTTCTAGGATATCATAAAATGCTACTTTATCTTCTTGAGTTGCTTCTTCTGTAGTAACATGGCAGTTGAGAATCGATATGTTGGCTTGTTTATTCTCTATTCTGATATAGGATATCCTTCCATTAACTGCTTTGAATTGATTACTTTTTCTTTTAATCTTCTATTCACCATAACGGGCTGTCCCATGTCCCCTCATTTTTATCTTCTCCCGAATAGTACATAGTAAAGTTTTTTTTCCTTAAAGTAAAGTTTTTTTTTTAATTCTTCCATCGTATTTTCTGCAGAACTAAAATTTCTAGTTCATATTTTTTTTATTTCTATGGCTATTTCTTGCATCTTACCTATTGCTAGCATGGTTTTGATATACCAGGATCCGATTTTAATGGGCTTTATTCTTTTCCTCCTATTATGTTTTTTTTTTCTTCCATGCTTCTTGTTTTGTTAATTTCGTTAGCCTTTTCTATTGTCGGGTCTGTTGTATTAGTGATCATAATTATAGGTATCATCTCTGCATTCTGTATTAGTTTATTGAGCATCCTCTCTCAGTGGTTTGTGTTCTTTCGATCAGTTTACCATTTTCTTTATCCCATTTCAATTCTTTTCCATTAATATTTAGCTTCATGTACCCTATTTTTGTTGTATTTCCCTTAATGTGACTCAAATAAGACACGGTTCAAACCCTGAAGGCAAGTTGACAGTTCTGACTTGGGTGTGGCAGACTTCGATTTAATATCATCTTTAAGTAAAATGATTTTCATTGATACTACCTAGTAATTAATTTAAGAATGCCACATGAAAATAACTTCAGAAACATATTAGTTGTATTTTTTCAATATGCTATAACAAAACTACATTGTGGTGTTGATTTTAGAGAGTTTGATTTCTCCAGAACAATTTGCAGAAGTTCTTTGTGATGATCTCGATTTAAACCCATTGACTTTTGTGCCTGCCATAGCTCAGGCAATCAGGCAGCAGTTGGAAGCATTTCCATCAGAACCACCAAGTATAATTGAAGAGAATTGTGAC